GCCGTGTTGCGGCGGTGCGATTTTCTCCGTTGCGCAGACTATTCTTATCTGGTGCACGATTAAACGAATTAATCCCGCGGCATCGTCGTTGTTTATAAACATTAACGTGAGAAGATAACCGTGTAATAACACGGGACACCGGGCGGGAGAGAGAGCCGTGGTTCCCAACCTCGAAATCTCCGCGTCGAAAGATTTTTCACCGGTGCTTGGCTATATTCATTGTTTACCCGCAGAATCACGTGCCGACGTACTAGTACATACTACTCTTTTATACTTCACGATCCCGTCTGCGTCGCATCGGATCGGTCGTTTTTAGCTTTACAAGCCACTTGTAAAAAGGTTATAAGCCGCGATAATTCGCGAACGATGTGCAATATGCGCGCGTCGCGGTTACTTCCGCGCTGCCAGACAGATTGCTGTCCCGTCTCTCCCCTCCCCGCGCCATTCCCCCTCCCCGCGCCATTCCCCCTCCCCTCTCCGGTGGCCGTTATCGAAGTTAATATAGGCGGACGAAAATCTTTTTTTATTTGGCCGTTTAAATAATAGTCGTGCAAACTGGATTCGCGGAACGGTAGACGCGAAACATCGAGAGAAACATCGTCGTTGAGAAAAGATGGTGGTTTACGGTCGAATTGCTAACCTCGAACCGTTTCCGAAGCGATCGTAAAACGTCTTTCGTTGCCTGACGCGTGTCGCGATGAAATAAACTTAAATAGGGTTGAAATTAAAAGGAACACAGCGGGCTACAGAGAACAATGGCTTCGCGGTTCCGTGCTTCCGTGTTCTCTTTATAGTCGACCGGGGACAGTTCGCTGTCGTGTCAGAAATAATACAGCGGGAAACATACGGCGGTCAGGTTAGGTGTCACACAGAGCGCGCTAATTCCGCGCGTTCGCCGTAAGCCTGGAAAGTCGAGTAGCGCCGTGTTATCGCGAGGCCGTCGTCTGCGAGATCATTGTTTCGATTGATCGAAGTTAGAAAGGAAAACGAGAGGAGGAACAGAGAGACAGACACTGTAAAGGGAACTCTCCGCGGCCACGGAACAAAAAAAAAGCAAAACAAAAAGGTTAGACGACGACAAACTCGGCCGGCGGAAAGGAGTGACGGAGGGGTGAGGGGGGAGAGCGGAGGAACAGGTTAAAGCGGCAAAAACGCCTGCCGACTGCACAACACAGGACAACAGGAGATCGTCGGTCTTCTCGTTTCTATATCTTCCCGTCGTGACGACGACGACGTTGCGCGTCGTTCTTTCCTCGGCCGCGCATCAAAACAAAGGCCTTGTCGCGCTCCTTTGTTTGTGTACACACACGGTGTCACGTGACTCCGGGGAATATGCAGAACACGCTCGACGATTACAATTATATAAAGTCTCGTCTTCATTCATATTAATGAGGATGATACACTTAGCGCGGCGTCCTTGAAATCGATACGTTACACCGCTATAATTTATTATTATTATTCCGTGTCCGAAAGCAATTATTATTGGGAGGGGGTGTTAAAACACTTCTCAGATTTTTCGAACGGTTTTACGTCGACGGCATTTGCGAATGCTTCTTCGAGGGATTAATTGTTTTCCGATTAACGGATTAATTGTTTAATATCTCCTGGATGCTTTCTTTTCGTGCGAGTTCATCGACGCGCAGGTTTTTTGTAGGTTAACTTGTTGGACATTTTTTGATGGGAGAGCAAACCGAACTCGACTGCACTTGGTGTTTTTACATCTTTCGAGGGATCAATATTTCGCGAACATTTCGCTGTCGATGCCGTTTTCCCGAATCTCGAAATTTCTGGTAGAGATATTTATTCGGTTGGAACTAAGGTTACGTCGAAAGTGTCTTAACACTATGCCGTCCGGTGGCACCTCGCTGGTGCCGTGCAAAAACTATCCGTTGTATGCCGATGGTATCACTTTGGTGTCATTTTAAAAAACTGAAATAACATTTGAACTATATTTCTTGAGCGTTAAAAGGCAACGAACTGACTACAGCATCGTGTTTATTCAACTAAGAATTAAGTACGAAAATTCTTGGACGACATATCTTAATTTTAGGAATTCATATTATCGCCATCTTCGAAATTTCTCTTTAAATCTAAAATTTCCAAGCTATTACGCCGGCGTCAAACGAAAGAATCATATCTAAGACGTTAGAAACGGTGTTCTAGTGTTCATTGGATGTTCGTACGTTGGCAGCTGTTCGCGATCCTAGTTCGAATCGAAGGAAGCAACTTTCTGCAGCGGATTCGCAGTCGCGCGGAGGCCGCGGCTCGCAGTGGGGTGGTGGGGGCAGCGGGACGAAGGCGTGAAAGAGAAGAGCCTGGCCCGCACTTCCTCCATCTTTATAAAGAAGAAGCCATCTCTTAAGCGCATCATAATGGAGACCTTGTCTCTTTTCTTTGTTTGAACACGCGCCAGCACGTGGCGACGCTCGATACGGAGAGAGAGAAAGATCGTGCGAGCGAGAGAGAGAGAGAGAGAAAGAAAGAGAGAGAGAGTAATGCATTCGATGCTATTGCGCTTCAAAACGTTCATGCGTTGTCTTGTCCCCCGTGTTCCCCGCTGCAGCATTTAGATTTTTACAGATGTATTATCCGTGCATGTTATCTCCTCTTTCTCTCTCTCTCTCTCTCTCTCTCTCTCTCTCGCTCTCTCTCTCGCTCTCGCTCTCTCCCCCTCTCGCTCGCACGCTCTTTCTCGGTGAGTGCGTAACTCGTCGGCGGCACGGTCAACGGCGCATCTGCCGATTTTTCAGTTCTGTAGCGGCGATGGTAGGGCTCGGACGGTTCGATACACGGACCGCCGCCGTTATTAACCAGACCGTTATAAATAACACGGGACTGATAGTTGCGGAATAAATACATGTATATGTATAACGCGATAGCGGGTAAACAGCGGAAAGGCGCGCGGTGTAGCAAGAACGACTCGCGCGGACCTCCGCCAATATTCTTCTCTAGTTGACGGTTCAATTTCGTCCGCGGCCGTTTTAAACGAGCCGCAATTCGACGCGGCGCGGCGCGTCGGTCACCGGTGACCGTCGGTATTAACTCGTGCAGCGTCTTCGCCGCGATTGAAGCCCGACAAATTGCATCGCGATATCTACGCGTAGAATTCTGTCGTGATATAACAGAGCAAGGGGGGGGGCATATGCATATTTATATGCAATGCATATTTCTTATTTCGCATAAAGATCCGCGGTCCAGCGATTGTACAGGGTGTCCCAAAAATGTAATAACATATATAAATATCCATAATATTATAATTATATTATCATATTATGATATATATAATATACATAAAATACTACATTATTATATATATGTGAATATACAGGGTGTCCCAAAAATATCTCGCAATCCGGAAACGGCGGGTTCCTCAGATCATTCGAAGCAGCTTCTTCCTTTACAAAAATGTTCTCCGAGGCACCGTTAACGAGTTATTGACGAAAGAACAGTGCGCCGACGCGAGGCAGCCCAACCAACCAGCGCGCGAAGCCCGGTTCCGTTCATTGGCTCGGCTGCCTCGCGCTAGCCGCGCTCGCCGAGCCAACGAGCGCGCGAGGCCCAGTTGCGCTGATTGGCTCGATCGCCTCGCGCCAGCCGAGCTCGCATCTCATTGGCGCACTGTTCTTTCGTTGATAACTCGTTAACGGTGCCTCGGAGAACATTTTTGTAAAGGAAAAAGTTGCTTCGAATGACCCGAGGAACCCGCCACTTTCGGATTGCGACACATTATTGGGACATCCTGTACATATATGTTATAGCTGGTTATTATTATTAATCCAGCGAAGGAAGCTCGCACCGAAGGAAATAGAAAATGGGTTCCCGCTTTGTTACCCACGCAAGGGTTGATTGCTGATCCACCATTTCGAAACGACGACGCGACGCGTCTATCTTGGCCGGCTCGCTCGCTCTCTTCGCAACGAATGGCCGTGTCCCATCTTGACGTCACCTCCGTCGGCGTGCCCGCGCGGATCAGATTGAGCTCTCTGGGATCGTTAGATCGCTCGACGACGATACGGCGCACAGTTTGTGTCAGGGATCGTCGTGGGCGTTCCAACTAGGCGACGATTAAGTTGCGCCACGAGACAACTAGGCAGCTGAAGAGCGTGACCATTAGGAGAGGGACGCTCTCGGTCTACGGAACAGTCGGAAAATGCTCGATCGCTGTTCTCATCGGTTTTTATCCGAGGACTCGGTTGTATTATTTTTAGACGCGGTCGGCGGGTTCCCGAGATCTCGGGTTTAAATCGGGTCAGGGTTATTCTTGGGGGTTATATTATTATACGGGTCGGGACCTGAAACTTTTTGCTACTTGGATTTGATGCCCGAGAATTTTCGGAAACATGAAAATTGATTGGGGAATGTTTATATGAATTCAGGAATATATGTTATACAAGGTGTCCCAAAATTATGGTACCTCCGGGAAACGAGGGATTCCTGAGGACATTTGAGGTAACTTTTTCCTTAGCGAAAATGCAATCCGCGGCTTCGTTTACGAGTTATTGAGGAAAAACGCTGACCAATGAGCGGCGAGCTCGAGTAGGCGCGCGGCGGCCGAGCCAACGAGCGCGCGGAGCCCAATTCCGCCGATTGACTCGGCCGCCGCGCGCCAGCCGAACGCTCGCCTCTAATTGGACAGCGTGTTTTCTTTGATAACTCGCGAACGATGCCTCGGAGAAAATTTTTGCAAAGGAAAAGGTTACTTCGAATAACCTCAGGAACCCTTAATTTCCCGGAAGTGCCATAATTTTGGGATATTATTTATATTGCTATATTATTTATTATTATATTTATCGTGTATCCAAGGCAGATGATACGCGATCAGGCAAAGGTAATTAAACGTCTAAATATGCCTACCGAGATCCCATTTTAAAATGATGTTTATTTACACCCCTGATCATATATTCTCCAAGGCAGATTTTCAATGATTTTGTTCAAGGCCGATTTTTCCAGCGTACCGATTTCCACCGTTTGTTTTAACGAGAACAAATTCTGGTTCACAGGTGTCCCCGAACCGGCGCTGTCTGAACCAGCTCAACAGCTGATCGGAGTACGAAGCGGCGGTGAACGGGGCCACTATTGCACCAACCACCCCGCGATTGGAAGAAATTCAATTCGATAATCGTCGCTGGTTAACGGCCAGACGTTCACCACACACGGGAGGAGAAAAGCGTCTCGACGTCACTTGATAACAATAACAGGAGAGAGGGAGAGAGCAAGAGAGAGAGAGAGAGAGAGAGAGCGCGCAAGAGAGAGAGGAAGAGGTGGATAGAGGGGAACAGCGTGTGATCAAGGGTTGGTGGCAGAGGGAGTGAGGAGAACGACGACGTCGACAAAGAAGAAGAAGAAGAAGAAGAGGAAGAAGACCGACAAGGGCGAGAGAGGAGAGATCTCTCTGCTTGCTCGGACACGCCATCATGGTCAAAACTTTTCAAGCATACCTGCCCTCGTGTCACCGCACTTACTCGTGCATTCACTGCCGTGCTCACCTCGCCAACCACGACGAACTCATCTCTAAGGTGAGCCGTGATAGATCAGGTAACGAACAGACTTCTCGCATTCGCTTCTTCCGCCGCTCTCTCTTGTGTGTGTGTGTGTGCGTGTGTGTGTGCGCGCGCGCGAGAGAGCGCACGTTCACGTGCACACAAACACCCCGAGTCCCTCCCCCCACCAACGCCCCCGCTCTCTCACTGTTCACGCAACTCTAACTCTTTAACTAACACGGTGTTTCCTTTTTGATTGCAGTCCTTCCAGGGCAGTCAAGGTCGTGCCTATCTCTTTAATTCAGTGTAAGTATGCTAATGCCTGCCCTCGCAGTCCCAGATAGAATCGGCGTGGAAAGTAGGACACGTACACTTCACCCGGAGAGAATTGTACAGGGTGTACACACGGTGTATATTGAGATTCAAGACCGATGCTTCCTTTTGTTCTACACGCTCTGCCTTGTTGTTCTTTGTTTCACGACGACGACGAAGAAAGAAGTCTTTTGCGTCGACGGAAAGTCTTGACAAGAAATCATGTACACGATTTGCGAGCGCGTTCGATACGTCGTATACCCTGTCGCCTGATCTTCCCAAAGATCAACGTTTTGTTTTTAACCCGTCGACTGCCAGCTACGAGACATATCTCGTAGTGGGTGCTGCAAGTTTAGATCGGCTACGAATGGCTATTTTAGTTAGGAAATATTAGAAAGGATGAATGAAAAATGTATACAAGGGTGTCCCGAAAATGTCTCGCAATTCGGAAATGGGAGGTTCCCGAGGTCATTCGAAGCAACTTTTTCCTTTGCGAAAACTTTCTCCGACGCTTCGTTTACGAGTTATTAATGAAAAACAGTGCGCCAATGAGAGGCGAGCTCGGCTGGCGCGCGGCGGCCCAGCCAACGAGCGCACTGGAGCCCGGTTCCGTTCATTGGCTCGGCCGTCTCGCGCCAAATAATCTCACCTCCGATTGGTCACTGTTTTTCGTTAATAACTCGTAAACGAAGCCGCGGATCGCATTTTCGCTAAGGTAAAAGTTGCTTCGAATCACCTCGGGAATCCCCTACTTTCAGATTGCGAGACATTTTTGGAACACCCTGTACAGCGTAGAGAACATATTGATTATCAATAAAAAAAATACTGTGAATACCATTGCGATATTATATCAGTAACTTAATATTATTATAATTATAAAATGATATTATATATCTAAAATATTATATATCATATATTATATTATATATCTATATTATATATCTAAAATATTATTATATATCTTTAAAATAAAACCGTGGCACCCAGGGCAAGCTAAATTTGCGTGGCAGTCAATGGGTTTAACTTTGTCCAGCTTTGTTCAATTTTGTTCACAAGAGCGAACAACACAAGCGTTTTCTTATTTTCTTGCTTTCTTTTCTTTTTATTATTATTATTTTTTTTATGACTGATCGTTACTGAATCCACGCTGGTTGTTGCAGGGTGAACGTGGGCTGTGGACCTGCAGAGGAGCGAGTTCTGCTCACCGGCCTTCATGCTGTGGCTGATATTTACTGCGAGTGCTGCAAGACCACCCTCGGGTGGAAATACGTGAGTTTTTATACGTTCTGCTAACCAAAAAAGAGGTGGCTAACTTCCACCGTGACACGGCCGCGAGATAGACCAGCCTGCGAGTGGTTGCCTTGAAATTTTCAGGAGCATGCATTCGAGTCGAGCCAGAAGTATAAGGAGGGCAAGTTTATAATCGAGCTTGCACACATGATCAAGGAGAATGGATGGGAGTAAGTCGTGTCGGTGTACAAGGACTCGGTACATCCCTGAACAGCGACGCCTATTCTTTTGTCCTTGATAATGATGATGACGACGATAATGATGATGACGATGATGATAACTACTACTACTACTACGACGACGAAGACGATGATGATACACGCCTACAATGTTGTTCTACTTGCAATGTGCGGCCCCCTCCCCTCTGTCAAACCACCAACGAAAGTCTGTGATTTCATTTGTGATTTGTAATCTTAGTAACTGTTTTATGTTTCGGACAATTCGACGTTGGTTTTCGTTCTCTCTGATCGACTCGTCGACAAGCGACAACCGATGACGCCGGTGATCCGCCGTGCCGCGGGTATCGGGCATACGAAGAGGAAGAAGAGGAAGTATTGTAAAGAAATTATTTTTCAAAAAAAAAAAAAGCTAGGAACGAGAAGAAAGAAAGAAAGGAGCGAAGAGAAACGGAAGGAGGACGAGAAAATCGAGGAGAAAAGAAGAGAAGAGAAGAGAAGGAAGAGACAGAGAGAGAGAGAGAGAGAGCGCGAGAGAGCTGGCAAGAACCGAGAAGTAAATAATGACGACGAGAAGCGATGGTGATGAATATGATGACGACGATGGTGCCATGGCGGAGAGGATAAAGACCCGAGATCGGCCTGTTCGAACAGTGGGGTGCCCCACTTAATTTTTCAATTCATTCATCCACGCGAGACGTTCCGCCCACGCGCGCGCTCGTCCACGGTAAAATGGTAAAAAATTAACGCGCGGGGCACCCCGATCGATCAGTTTCGAATCTGTTATGCACCGGAGCAGCGCAAGTGCCCACAGACATTGCTGGACTGACTGCCTGCCTGCCGCGGCGTCTATCATTGGAATTTCACTGCCGATATTCCTAATATTAATTAAGACTGCCGCGCCGCGTGTAGTTGGCGGCGCGGCAGCGGTAGATCCTAGTATAGCTTACGATATAGCGTACTAAAGCCTATGTTACAATATTATAGGACCTCATGGACATAGAATGTAAGGAATATGTAAGAGTAATGAAGCTGAGGAGAGGAGCAAAATAATGTGCAGGGAATGAAAGAACGAGCGAGCGAGAGAGAGAGAGAGAGAGAGAGAGAGAGAGAGAGAGAGAGAAAACAGAGTGATATAAAATACGAATGAAAGAGGGAGAGAAAGAGCGAGAGAGAGAGAGCCAGAGTATGATAGGGAGAGAAAGACAAAACGTTACTTGTGTCGCGCGTACATGTTTGATTTTATGTTCACCATGCCTGCCAAACTGTCTGTTTGTCTGCCAGTCGCCATTACTTGTTAGTGGAATGAAAAACAAGAAGAAAAAAAAGAAAACCGTATTCTAACATGTTCACACATTCTCGTCGGCTCTCGCAGGGTGTGGTATGACTGAATAATATTTTTTCGTTGTGAAACCATCATTTTTGGACTGCGCCTTCCTAATTCACGCACCATAATGTATTAAACGATGATGAGGAAAAAGAAAAGAAACGAAACTAAGAACGTAACTACTAAAACACGAACGAAAGAGATAAAACAAAAGAAAATATATGGAACAAAATAATTGCTCATTACTTTTTAACAATCGATCTCATTTGTAAATATTAAATAGAGTTGAGTGTAAACGTTCACGAGTCACTGTATCATTCGGAGGTAGAGCGGATATCCGTTGTGTTCCACCTCAGGATACCCCTTGTACACGATTAATTGATTTCTATCATCGGTCATTGAAAAGAGAGAGAGAGAAAAGAAAAAGCAGAAAAGTGCATGAAGCTACGTTTGTTGACTTGTCACGTTTTTTTCACGCTAGACCGGTCTTCTATACGGCGGCGATGTTTTACCGTGTTTTCATTTGTTCGTCAAGATGTTACGTCTCGAGCACCGCATGTGTGAATTGGACAGGTTTCGTTCTAGGTGGCTTGTCGTGCTACCTTCGTTACTTATCCGCGAAATTTTAGGGCGTGTTGTAGCGACCGAAATTAGAAATCTCGATCACGCTGTTCGACGCGTACATAATTTAGGTATTTTTATGACTTCGAGCCGTCGCGTTTCTGACAGATAGATCCTCGTCAGCCGAATACTGAATCTGTAAATTCATTCTTTCGGGCGTCTAGAAAATTAAAAAGGTACTTTACAGAGCTCGCATGTATTCGGCTGACGGAGAATCGTTCGCTCGAAGTTACGAATCCTCGAAAAAAAAGAAAAAGATGAAAAGCATTGTTTGAACAGCGTCGCCGCGATGTGGTACATTCATTCGTTGGAGCATGTGTTTTTGTATTGTACGACCGAAGTAACACACCCGATGTATCTCGTGTAATATATCAAGACGAAGGTAGCAATAATCGTACGCGTGAAGAGAAAAAAAGAGAGAGAGAGAGAGTTTATTTTTCTTTGAATAACGAGAAAATAACGAATCGATCAAAAGGTGTAACTGTGAAACACAAGTGTACAAAAATTGATCAGTTCTTATATATATTGTGCTAGACATCTCCGACAAAAAAAAGCATAGATTGAGTAATGGATACGTGTGAAAACCGAATAAATATACCGGGTGGAGTTTTAACGGGATTTGCGAAAGGGAAATGGGTATATTCGTATGTTCATTGTTTTAAATGCATACATATGAACGATGCGATGTGTATTTTGCGTGCGTGTCTCGGAACAAGTGGTGAATGAATGTGCCGGCCTAATCCTACATGCTGTCTCTTGGAGAGTACTTTTTATATTACTGTGCCGATGCCCCCCCTTTGTCCGCGCACTCACTTTTCTGAGAGTCTTGTTAAATTGTGGCCCACCAACACCGAATTCTATAGTTTCCAGCCTCCACCGACATCCACCCATTACCACCATTACACAATTTTGCTTTGTAAAACATGTTCATAATAAAAACAAAGAGGAAATACAAAGTATTTAATCGACGGTGACTTTATTTCAATCGAAGCTCTCTCTCCTTCGAGTTAACCGAACAATAGAAATCCGAATACACCGAAGTGATTAATCCATATTATCCTTTTCTTAAATATTATTTCTATATCCTGTATATATATAATATATTATTATTATATATACACACACATTATTATTATATAATATATATATATAAACCTGTTCGATTTTATTAACGAAAAGGAAAACTAAATCTGCCCACTGATTTATTCTCTCCTCTTTACCGACGGAGCGCGGAATGTATCGGAATGTGGTTAGTGCATATTTCGACGTCCGTACAAGTCGCTGCGCGATGGATGCGTAACATCGACGTTGCTCCCGGGTCTTTTTTGTGGTTCCTTGTTGGTTTCCTCTATTTTTGTTTACATTTTAGTTTGTTTAAAAAAATGTTATAGGCTTCTATTTGTTTTCACGGAGTTGTGTAGCGACGGACGAACGCGAGTTCTGCATAAAAAAGAAATGAGAAACACGAAAGTTAAAGCGAGGTATATAGTGCATCTCCGGCGTATTAGAATAGTGCCGATCCTATAATACTTGTTGCTTCTGCTATGCTGAAAAAATTTCTTCGTTTTTATTTAATTGACTGTTTGCAGTACCGTGTACCGTTTTTTTTTCTTTTTTTCTGACCCAGTCTAATAATTTAATTATCTTAATTTCAATTCTAATAATTTAACCTTTGTTATATTAAGGATAAGAAAGTTATATTTAACTCGCAAGAGTATTGATTTTTCCCCCACCACTGCTCACGCACAATGGGAGTTTGTTTCATTCACGTGTGACCAAACGTGGTCCGTTTGTATTTTATTTACTATTATGTAATGGATATATATATATTCCGTTGAAATCAAATTTTGTCGGAAAATATTTGCTTTCTGTAAAAACCCAAGGCATTCTAAATCCATTAATTTAAAATATGAGTAAAATATAAGATGTTGATAATGTTGTTCTTGTTCAGTTTCTTTGTGCTAATTATTACTAGGTATCTTTGTTTTTGTAGACAATGCATGGAGCGTTTTGGAGATCAAGGGGGATACTTTGATGTTGTTGTGCGCCCAATGTTGCAACAGGGGCACGAAGGGGAGCTGTGCGGGTGGCTGAAGGAAATGAGCTTAATTAGGACCGATTCTAACTGCCCAAATCCAGAATGCAAAGGTAGAAGTCTGGGTTGGAATCAAGCAAGAATCGTGGACAAATACAGCTGGTCCTGTCCCAGCTGTACTAGAAAACAGTCGATAAGGGAAAATTCGTTTTTTTTTGGTATCAAATGTGATCTGAAAATGTGCCTTCAGTTGATATTAGGATGGTGTCAAATGATACCCAGCGAACTCACTGCTAATTACTTAGGTATGCAAGGACTCGCGTATCAGATCCGTTGTACGATTCGTTCCATGTTCTAAATATCTTTCTCCCTTTCTAGAAATAAAGAAACACGTAGTTAAGAAAGTATATGAGAGATGCGACGAGGTGTCCGAAAATTATGTGAAGACTCATCCGCAGGATTGGGTTCTAGGAGGTCAAAGTGCAATATTAATTGTGGATGAATTTCCTAATGGTTATATGACTGAGAATCCTTCTGATGTAACTAGTGCTAAGAAGCGCAATAATAATTCTCATACGATAGTCTGTATAGCGGAGGTAAACACTATACCAATCCGCATGTGGTTGCATATGGTTGCAGCAGTTCCAGAGGTATGTATCGCCAAGTACATTTAATTAAGCATTATTTTAATTTTGTTCTACTTATTTCAGCCAATCAAAATGGATAAAACTCACGGGGAGGTTGATAAGTGTACCACGGTGAAAGAAGCTTTGAAGGAAATTACAAAACACAGTGCTCCAGGTAGTTACATTGTGGCAAACAATCGAGCTCGTTGTTGCAACTATGATCTGTTACAAGAATTAAAGCAGTATAAGGTGATCAGCGTGGAACATTTGCAGAAATTTGATCCACCTGGTAAAAATAAACTTCTGAGTAACTTAGGTATGTGTGCAATATGTAATGTTTCTAGAAGAGTACAGCGTATTGTTGTGCACAAAATTATTTACATTTTTCAGAAACAATCTGGCAAACCAGTGTCGAAATCTGCGAAGAAATTCAAGAAACCACTCACAATTTGGGGCAACGAATAATAGCTAAACATTTGTGGAGGCAGAGATTCGGTACGTCTCCTTCCATGGCATTTCAGTACATGCTTAATCATATCGCAGAATATTATCGCTTTATTTGAATTTCATTTATCTAGTGTTTCCACTAATTTTAGTTTAACTCTTCAAATACTACAAGCAATATCGATTGTTAATTAATGATCCTTTTTTTCTTTTGGGTAAAAGTTGCGTTAAAACTTGAATCAATTGCGTAGGATAGCAATTCGTTGTCGATCATATGACAATTTTATGGTATCCTAACTGCACAAGTTGCACAAATGGCCTTATTGAAATTAAGACTAGATATAAAAATAATTGTAAAGGATTTATATAGATATAGATATATGAAGAGAGATATCTCCGTGGAATGGAGTATACAATGTTCAACAAAAACACGCACTTTGTGTCTTCCAAATATCAAAATATAAATGATTTTCAAGTTAAATATTTATGACGATTGTTGACTAGTTAGAATTATATCATTATATGGAATCTTGTCTCTGTTAAAGCACATTCGAAGAATACTGTTCGCGTAGGATTCTTTTCTCACTTTTTTTTTTTGTCAAGAGTTTAGTTCAAGAGCTAGCTGCTAAAAAAGACTGACGATGATGATATTGATATAATATTAAATTGTTTTGAACGTCACTGAAAATTCGAATGTTCGTTTAAGGTATATATGTATAATTGAGAGACGCAGCAGCTATTAATACTCATCAGAAAATTGTATAAAACTTGCTCACGGAAAATGGTTCGGAATTAAAATGGATACAATATCTATAAATTGAAGTCTTAGAAAAAAAAAACTTGCTTCGCCCAGAGTGAATACGGATAATGTCGTGGTGCAATTAGTGCCAGCATTTGGATTAGAATTAAGTCTACGAAATCATAGATAATCCAATTTATATACCATTAATGTGTACAACAATTATAATACTTAATGATGATCTAGAGTTTTATCCAAAGTTTGATACCAGTATTATTTAAAATAATCTTCTGCAAATCGACTGTCACGTAAGTTTAATTGTCGTCGGTTTCTCAACCCTTTAGTTCGCCGAAATACCTTGTGATAAACCGACTTTGTGATATTGCAAATATTATTTTCGTTCATCGTCTTGAACCAACGTCTGTAAAATGTGTAAGGATACCAAGGATGTCAAATTTTTTTTTTTATAAGATTTTGCGAACCATGTGATATCAACGTTACTTTCTACGATATGAAATGATCTATTGCAAGTTAGAAAGATAAGAAAATATCCTTTATGACGTAATATTAATATTTTTATAACGAGTAATCTTTTTAGCAATACTGTTGTAAGTTTGTACAAATATTGTTGAAACAACTACAAGAGACATATGCAATAAGAAAAAAAAAAGGTAACGCGTGTTTTTCTACCGAAACATTTTGTAGCAAACGTAAAAGAAAGTTGTAAAACATTATATACAAAATGTGTAAAATTCAAATTCATACTTAAATACCAAATAAAGCAATAGAAGTATACATATATATATATACACAATATGTCCAGCGTATAAAAATGATTACCATTCCAAATATTTTCGCATACATTTTTATTTGTAACAAACAGGAATAAACGAGCAAAACATATTAACAAAAATATATCTCTGAAAACGCTTGTATACATAAAATATATTTCAACTCCATAAAAAAATAGTATAAACATTGTTCCTTATAATATGTACTAGTTATGAGATTCATTGTACTTCTGTGTACTTCTGTGTGTTAGCGTAGATCCTATACCCGCGGCGTTACAAGCTTAAAAGGTACTGTACAATAGTAGTGGCAGTTACAAAAAATCTTTATTCATGATCTCTCTATAATTATTTTGATCCAGCACCATTTTTCGGAAAACTCGATACTTCTGGAGATGATATCTGAAAGAGAAAAAAAAGAAACGGACAGGTAACAAATACTTTACGTCGTCTCTTTATAAAATTAATAAAACAATTCACTCACTTGTGACACTCGTCTTTTGGTTTAACAATGTTCGCAGATCCTCCCATCGTTTTGATCGCGTCGTATATGTTACTGAACTTTCCGGCTGCGTAAGATCCCAGAATCGCTGCTCCTATCAGCACAGATTCCTTCTCGACAGGGCAAAGCACAGGTAAACCCAATACGTCTGCCTGAATCTGAATGAACAGTGGATTTTGGCTCAGGCCTCCGCATACCAGTAGCTCCTCTATCTTGTGACCAGCGGTTTCCAATGTTTCTAAAATGTGCCTTGTCCCATACTGTTGAACAAATTTCAAATATTAAAGTCTGATCAATTTAATCCGATATTTTTTTACTCATTTTAAATATACTCATATTTAATATATACAGAATAAGCGCCTTTAAGATGAAACGTCCGAATCATTCGTACCGTTAATGCTTGCACCGTTGCCAAGTAATACAATGCCAAGTTCTCTTCGTCAACGGACAGAGATAATCCCGATACCTGCATAGCAATCATTTTTAATGAAAATATATATATATATATATATATATATATACATATATATAAATTGTAATGAAAATATATTTTCAAATACATGAGCAAAATTGCTTTTACCATTCCTTTGAGAGTTGGGTCAGCCAGTGGGGAACGGTTTCCATGAAAGTCTGGCCAGACGTGAATCTCCTTCGTCAGGTACGACACGTTCTTCAGACCCCTCTGATCCGCCATCGTCTGCAGCAGTTCCGTTAAGTATTGTTGGATGTGCCTAGGAAACAGTAACAAATAATAGATCAGTTGAACAAATTTGTTTGGTACACACAAGCGAACTCACTTGTTTCCGCTTAAACTTTTCAAGATCCCTGGTGTTGCAGGATGCGTGTCGATTATGTGATCCAGCAGTTTCCCGGTCGCGCTTTGCCCGCCTTCGTTCAACCATAATCCCGGTATCATAGCACTGTAATACGGTCCCCAAACACCGTTGACGAAAAGCTTCTTCTCGTTGACTATCATGTGGCAGGTCGAAGTGCCGCAAATTAATGCTGAAAAATAGAAGAGCAGGTTGTACGATTCAGACAAGAGAAGTGTATGAGATCTATCTTTACCTAATCTCCTCTGCAAGTTAGCGGATGAACCAGGTACAGTGCAGCCTATCATGCCAAGTCCCCCAGCATGCGCATCGATTAGGGAGGTGCCCACAGCGGTACCTTTCAGAAGTCCTAATTCAGACGCGGCTTTAGCCGACAGTCCCTGGTCAACGGGATCCCCGGGTGTCCTCACGTCGCTACCTTCGTATCAATAGTTCTCTTTGTTAAAATAAAGCAATACTTTCATACTATGTGTCTGAACATAAAACAGACTCGTTAAATCGTCAAAACGTTCTTCCGCATAGACACTGGAAATTCCGTTCGGTTCGATCGACTCACGTGAAAATAATTGTCAATACCTAAAATTGTTGTCAATACCTATTTTCTTCCAATTATCTTTCATGAGTTCTCCCAGCTGAATCTGTTGAAAAAATGCCGCGTTCCATCCGTTGTTGCCGTCTGGATCAGCATTGTAGTTCCACTTACATACTAGAGAGCATAATGATCTAAAATTAGATCAACAAGTTATACCATGTTGCTCAATTTTCATGTCAGTGTGCAATGATGTAACTACCTCGAATCGGAACCTGTGGCTTTCCATGTTAGGAAATCGGGCAGATCGAAAAGGAACGCTGTACGGTTCCAGGACGAGGGTAGATTCTTTTTCAGCCATAACATTTTCGGGGTCTCCATCTCCAGCGATACTTTCCCGCCGACGTACTGAAGCATTTCGTTGTCCTGGGCATTTATGTAGTCCGCTTCTTCTTGCGCTCTGTGATCCATCCACAATATGACATTCTGTTTGTCTTCCCCTGCATTGAAAGTTGCAAAGTTGTGACAGCCAACTTAAAATACCATTTTTTGATATCGATTTCAACGCACCAGTGGGACTGATCGTGACCGGAGATCCTGTCTTGTCCACTGCCACCAAGGAACAGGTGGCGTCAAACCCGATGCCTTTCACATTATCTGCAGAAATATCAGCCACTACTGACTACAAATAATAAATATTATACTTTTTGTTCAAAATGTTACACCGTACGAACATCTCTGTTAATACCTTCACCACATGACAAACTGCACTCCAAATGTTGTCGGACGATTGTTCGTAGAAGTTAGGAGCAGGATGGAAGATTTCTAGAGGACACGTTGCCAATTTAACTATCTTCCCCTTGGAGGACACCAAGGCGGCTCGAGCGCTTCCAGTTCCCACGTCAACACCGACAAAGTACTCCATTATTATATTTAAGATTGTTCGTTGGATACTGTGTACCGTTCGTCAGGAGAAACCGACTGACTGTTTCGCTTTGAACAGTATCATTATAAGCTGTAAATTAGGATCGTTATCAACCGAGCTTTACTGTAATCATTCAGTTACTTTTTAATATCACATGACCCTGAGATAACACCGACAGGATTAAGAAACACTTACCAATAGCACAAGTAGCAGCCTGTTGCTTAGGAAAACTCTCTGTGTCGCGCGCACAAGCAGAGATAGAAAATTCGACGCGGAACGGAACAGAGTTGCTAACTCGAAAAACTTTTTCTTTAATAATTATTTAGGCTCCTAAACGCGACTTTCGTATGACGCTATACATGAATATCGGATCAATAGGATCAACACTAAAGGCAAAGTACAACGTCATTACGTAAGTTTTCGCGACACGTAGCATTAATCAAGAAAACACGTGTGCATAAAAAATACCGTACGCGTTACCTTGAATAATTGCACCGTGTTTCGCTCTGTACCGACATCGCTGTCTCACGGTCTTCGAAAGACTGCTCGAACTTTTTCCATATACGTGTCGAAAAGTGAACGGACACTGTGTTAGAACGTCGTTAATACATTTCTAATAAAAAAAGGTCGGAAACTAGATTGCAGCTGGAAAATCACGTTGAAAATGTATTCCATGTTGCACGCACGTGTGCGTGTGTTTGACAGCGACCTAGCTAAACCTTGCCTATCTAAGCGCGGTTGAGAACGTCGCACGTGGTAATGTTTTTCTGACGCGTTCGCTGTAAAGTGTGTTATTTACCGATAACGTACCGCTAATTATCGTAAAATAAGGTTTCGTTCGTGTAACCAGTGTTCAGACCGTCCTTGAATAATGCTTCTGTGATCAGTACCGTGATCGACGCGTTACATAACCTAAAAGATGGTTCGTTTTAAGAACAGGTAATGCGATCGTTTTACATTACAGAACTAATTTATATTTGTCGAACGCTTAATGGAATCTTTTTTTACGTAGATAAAATATCACAAACAATGACGATCATAATCTTTTATTGTTGACGATTACATAAGTTCGTTTGCAGATATTTGGTATTCGAAATAACTCTCGGCGATAACTACGATAAACATTTTCCGCTGAAAATCACGACGCTGCACGTTGCTATAAATCAAAAAGTACAACAGCTGTACGGTGACTTCGGTGTAGCGGCGATAAAAGCTGGCTTCAGTGGTAAAACCGAATGTGCAATAATACATATTTTCTTTGTAATCCGACGACCTCATGATCTATTATTCTTCTAGCCAAGTACTGCAACGAGCACACGAGGATAGCATTAGTCAAAACTAGACACGGACCGCACAAATTTCTACTAAAGGCTATTCCTCTGATAAACGATATCGCGAGCCGTCTGGTGCGGGTGAAAATACTTTACGTGGGAGCAACGCTGAAACATTGTTTCCTCTATATCAAGGTACACAGATTGCTTACTGCTGAGAATGACAAACTCTTCCGTTACTTGTATCTTTATCGAATGCGTACAATTGTTTAGCGTCACCAGCAAAGGAAACTGGAACGCGTGTGGAACACCTTGAAAACCGACACCGAAAGGAGAAACATGGAGAACGCTTTGATGACTCTGGTACCGGGAATGAAAGATTTCACGTAGATTGAAAAATTGTATTCTATACACACGTCTAATAAAACAAATTCTGCGAAGCTACTTCCACGGATTATTCTGTCATCGATAGACAGCAGAGTTTATGCGTGTACGTCAAAAATGAATAGATCGAGCACAAAAGTAGAGACGCATTAGAAGAATTTAAGGATATCGCTGTCATTATTTTCAACAGACCACGATTGTCAAAAAAGAAAAGACGCTTAAAGCTAATTTATATTTCTTACAATTAACTTGGATAAGTTTTATTTTGCATAAAGATCCACAGTCTAATGATCAAGTATTTAGTTATAAAAGGACTAACCACAGTTCGCTAAATTCGGTATAATCTTCGAAAAATCTTTGAATATTTTGATCATGAACATAGCCAAAGTTGCGAACCACTGTGGCCCATCGAGGCGGGAACGATTCGAATTTTCAACCACCGACCGCCGAAGAATGTCGCGACGAAATCGGCAGCCAGAAACGTTCCATTAAAGAGCATCCTTCCAAATCGCTGGAAACTAAAATTAAAAACGTTTGAAAACGATGGGAAAATCTGGTCGAAGTTTCGTCCGTGTTTGGATGCGAAAAAGTACACGATAGACCGCCGTGCGGGTCCTAGTTTACCATTGGATAAAGGGTGCGGGTAATAAGGGTCATTGCTGGCCGTCGCCAGTTGTCGCTGGTGGTTACTGGAGGGAGAAAGAGGCAGAGCCATTGCTCCGGTTCCCGAGGCAGGGAACGGTGGTGGCCCGTGTAGTCCGTATACGAATATAGTTGCCAGTCGATCCGCGAAGGTGCTCCCAAAGTGGTGGTGATACTCGTGTGCAGGCGAGCAGCAAGAGAATCGGGCAGAAACTGTCTGTGGGCCGTCGAACGAATCCGCGCGCCGCGAAACGAAAGGATCTTTTCTATTTACGCGAGAAGGATCGGAACGGAACAGAAGCGCGCGTCTCTCGTCGGCGCAACGCCTGCGATATCTGTTTACACGAGCGAATCCAAGGTGTCTCCTGCGAAGATCCGCCGAAGGAGCCAGCCCGAGCGGCACGCCTCAACCTAACCCCGGCTCACCATCGCCTTCGGTTGCCGAATACGTACGCCGACTGGCGATCCTGAAGCCTGACGGACAGACAGACAGGACACGGGGAGAGAGCACACCGATCTCGCGACGAGGATCCAGCAATTTTTCACCGAGGTAAGACGCGGTGTGTCCTTTTTTCCGTACAGGTTATCGATTTCGTGGCGCGTCGTTTTCGGGGGGATGCGTACGGAATTCGCGGCGACGCGATTCTCTTCGGCGGTTCGGTTGGTCTCGCGGTTTCCGCGGTTTAGAGTTTCGTTGAACCGTTAACAATCGAATCGTGCCCGGACGTGTCGCCGCGAGTCGTCCGCGAATACGGAACAATCGATTGGCGAAATCAGTGGCGTCGCACCCCTCGCGCGGACGGACCGATGTTATCTTCTCTTCCAATAAGACGAGTGGGAGGCCTAATCTAACGTTCGAGCCGCCTCGCGTAATTACTCCGCTTACGACTGTCATTACGTGTTCGATCGAGAACGTTTTCTACGCCGATGTACCGTAGATCGAACGATATGATCCGAGTAACGATCGCGGTCGCACATCGAACAATCTTATCGCCGTGTCTCCGAGGATCGAACATCGGCTTCCGGACATGTAAGCAAGCGACCGCTTTTGTTTCGGATTGTACCCCCGTTGAGTTTCTTCGAACGAAATTTCGAGATGGCCTTCCTTTCGAACGAGGAAATGTTTTCGCGTTATGTAAATGTCTTACATAAAAATGAACGAACGGGGCTTAATTTTAATGATTCGTGCATGCTTGCCGCGGGGGAGAGAAGAAAAAAGGCTTCTCTCGCGGATACTCGATGAATTAAACTTGCGCTGATTTGACTTTTTTTTTTTGTTCACGATGACGTAAGACGCGAATTACGATATGTACGAAATACGATCGCGTACGTCCGTTGTACATATTTGAGGAACGCGGTTCTCTCGCGGGTAAAGCTGGCTTTCTGTTTCAATAATCCGCGGTACGCGATGAGGTAATACATTCGCTTGTGAAAATCGTTTTCGCTGTTTTTCTGCGTCGCGGTGTTAGGCGATAACAGTGACGAATGAAAAATGCGGCACGAAACCGCGACATTTGCCGAACTATTTTTATCCGGGGATCCGGAGTTTTTCTGAAAGATAATATGGTGTCTGAAGGAAATGATGCGTGATTATGCATTTATGAAAAGTAATTGAACAGGTCGAATGCAAAACTGAAATGACGTTGAAAGAATCTCAGGATATCGTTGTCGACTAATTACGATTGTTGAATGAGAAAAAACATTTCCAACCAACTTGTATTTCATACAATTGACTCGAATGCATATTTCTTATTTCGCATAAAGATCCGCGGTCCAGCGATTGTACAGGGTGTCCCAAAAATATAAATATATATATATCATAATATGATAATATAATAATAATATTATGGATATAATAATGGATATAATAATAATAATAATAATAATAATAATAATAATAATAATAATAAATATGGATATAATAATGTGGATATAATATAATGTAGTATTTTATGGATATTATATATATATAATATCCATAAAATACTACATTATTCTATATATGTGAATATACAAAAATGTTCTCCGAGGCACCGTTAACGAGTTATCAACGAAAGAACAGTGCGCCAACAAGAATCGAGTACGGCCGACGCGAGGCGGCCCAGCCAACCAGCGCGCGAAGCCCGCGTCCGCTCGTTGGCTCGGCTGCCTCGCGCTAGCCGCGTTCGCCGAGCCAACAAGCGCGCGAAGTCCAGTTGCGCTGATTGGCTCGGTCGCCTCGCGCCAGCCGAGCTCGCCTCTCATTGGAGCACTGTTTTTCGTTGATAACTCGTTAACGGTGCCTCGGAGAACATTTTTGTAAAGGAAAAAGTTGCTTCGAATGACCCGAGGAACCCGCCACTTTCAGATTGCGAGACATTTTTGGGAAACCCTGTATTGTTTTTCAGTTGACGTATGGAAATTACAGGGGGGAATCGTATCGTGTCGAACGCGACGGCGACGTCGATCAGTATTCGAGCGGCGTAATGCTATTTGCCATTCGTCATTTGAAATAATATTTCTCGGCGCGGTGGGAGCGCCGACGGCGGCCACTCGGAAGCTGCGGCGAACAGATGTCGTTCCCTCGCTCGCGCCAGTCTCGACGGCGGTCTTTTCTCTCTTTCTCTGTTCGACACGGTTCCCCCGTATTTACAATGGCCCCTATCAGAAATAATAATCGCGGTCGTGCTTCCCGCTGGAGAGCGAGAGAGAGAGAGAGAGCGAGAGAGAGAGAGAGAGACGGCCGGGAATTGTTTCCATCAACGGAGTACTGTTGCGGACTCCGGCCCCGACGGCCGTCGGGGAAGGTTTCTTTCGCGTGTTTCGCGTTCTACCGCCCGATGGGGTCTTTCACCCGATTAGCTCGATGTTCCGAGTAGTATCGATCTGTCAATTAACCCGCGTCTATACTCCTACGTTTGACCAGCCTGCGTAAATGCTTTTCCTGTCTTCTCGAATTCATCCGCTTTTAACCCCTTGCCCAATACGCGCGCGTCGTCACATCTGTGCCCGTGTGTGCACAGGCCTGTCATTCTGTAATGTTTATATACAGGGTGGCCCGTTTCTCGCGACCGTTCCCGAGCTGTGAACGAGACACGCTCGCGCGCACAGGGTGATCCATTTATCCAGATTATTTGGCGCGTGATAAATACATACACCGCGGATTTCCATGACTAAATAAAAATTGTCTATGTTGACTGAAAGAAACGGAAAGTATCATTATTTTTTATTCATTCGATATAAGCTTCGCTTTTTGGTTTAGAACGACTTAAACTAAGTTATACTGTTTTTCTTTGTGCTATAGAATATACTGACAAAGTTTGAACATTAAAATCTGGGACACTCTGTATATCACTGTCTCTTTGCTTTTTGCTTTTTGCGAGTCGTCAAATATGTAGACGGACCCAGAATAAAATCTCAATGATTAAAATATTATTAATTATATAATATTCAATAAAAGTTGCCGCGTGCTGTCCGAATCGATAGCAAAGGGGGGGGGGGGGGACCACGTTCGAATTAATTAACAAAGGTCGGCCATTCTGGCGACACTTGGAGAACCCTCTTAACCGAGTGACACAATGAGCCCTCTTCGCACTCCCGGTGCGCTCCCAGAAACCAATTAAAATACTTCCAGCATTTTACCTCGAGGGGAGAACACGAAACGCGGAACGAAACTACCCGGATTTCAGTGGTTCCCCCCCCCCCCTCCTTCTGTACGAAACTATGCCGGAAGTTTGTTTCGTCGGTGTTTCGGGTCATCTTCGAACCATGTCGCAGTTTCCAAACCGGTTCCAACCCCTAGAACGACGCAACAATGTTTTCCATTTGTCTGCGAACGCGCGAATCTAAATACCGAAACAACGAGGATTACGAGAAGGAACAACGAGAAATTATTTTTAGAAATTTGTATCGAGTGTTTGGTTTCTTCTATATATATACAGGGTGTCCCGAAAATGTCTCGCAATCCGGAAATGGCAGGTTCCCGAGGTGATTCGAAGCAACTTTTTCCTTTGCGAAAATTTTTTCCGAGGCTTCGTTCACGAGTTATCAACTAAAAAACACTGACCAATAAGAGGCGAGCTCGGCTGGCGCGCGGAGCCCGGTTCCGCTCGTTGGCTCGGCCGTCTCGCGCCGAATGATCTCGCCTCCGATTGGCGCACTGTTTTTCGTCAATAACTCGTAAACGAAGCCGCGGATCGCATTTTCGCTAAGGAAAAAGTTGCTTCAAACGACCTCAGGAACTCCCTACTTTCGGATTGCGAGACATTTTTGGGACACCCTGTATATATTCCGAGCTTCGCGAGAGCCGTTCGTTATGCCATGTTTACACAACAGAATGAACGGGACCCGAGGCGAAGGGTAGATAAACTCGCACGATACGCTGACGATAGGCGTCGTCCAAAAAACGACTCAATTTACCCGGGGCGCGCGCGCGCGTAGAAAGCCAAGCGCAATCGAATCCAGCGAATTTCCATCGTTATTTTATCAAGTTGTTACGAACGCACCCATGTGAGTGTTACGAGGTAGTCGAGCATGTTTTTTTTTTAGAGTACAAAGACGATCGTATCTCTCGGCAAAATTGCAAGTCGGCGAGTAGAAAGAGATTCGATAATAGGTTATGTTGACAGTTCACGGTTGAGAATTAGGTGTCGCGGCATTGCGCGCTCTCTCCGACGGAACCTGCGTGCCACACAGTATCCTGGAATATTTTATTAGGCTCGTCCGTCTTACTTTTTCTCTCTCAAACGTTTATTACATAAACCGTGGTTCTCTCCGTGGGCCATGTTTCGCAATGAATCGCAAAAGTGGGGCATAAGGATGACCATTACGTAATCCATGAAAGCGAAGTTATTTGCAGATTGTATCGTTTATTTCGAAGGCGGCTTCAGGCCGTTGGATATAAACGACATACCTCGCCTTCGGTCGACCGGCACGAGACCGCCTCCCCTCCCCTCCCCACCTCTCGCCCCGCGCCGCCGAATTATTTCACTTTTTGACGCGGTCGTTCTTCGAAGCCGAAAAACAAATTGTACACATCAAGTGTACGGAAACGAACGTCGAACGGATATCTATTTATCTTCATTGACCAGCGTCAATTGTTCGTTCAGGATTTCTTTCGAATTCTTTCCGACGGGGGCAACGCCAGAACGCCCCGACAGCGAAGCCGACGGACGCGCGAAGTCGTTGTTCTTTTTTTTTCTCTCTCTCTCTAACGTGTTTACGGTGAAAAAACCGCAATTTCACGTGCCGAGCGAAGATATGACTTTCATGATTGTCCATTTTGCGCGCGCGCGCGCGCGTGTATCACTCGCGCTGCCGAGCAACTGGGCCAAACACAAACAAGACGAGACCAGCAAAAAGTGTTCGTCGGTTCGACGTCAAAATTTCGTTCCAATTCCAAGCGAGCCACGAGTCTTTTTTCTTTCTTTGTTCCATTTCATCTGTTAGATCGTGTAATAAGAATTGTTCAGTCGACGACGTGAACGGACTTGTACAATGACAGGATAATCTGTCCTGTCTTGAAGTGGACACTTTCAGCTTTCGTTTAAGCTAAATTTCATAGAAATAGCTTTACGAGAACGTATTATATAAAATCCATCTAAACTTTTCTCTTTCGAATCTTGTAAATCCCGTGATGACAGATATGTCGATTCCTTTTAATTTTTCAAAACGATCTCGTCAATCCGTTGCAATCTAATTTACCATATCTTAAAGTAGACACTTTCAGCTTCCGTTTAAGCTAAGTTTCATAGAAATAGCCCCACGAGAACGTATTATATAAAATCCATCTAAACTTTTCTCTTTCGAATCTTGTAAACCCCGCGATGACAGAGATGTCGATTCCTCTTAATTTTTCAAAACGATCTCGTCA